TTTAAGTTTTGGATTCCACTGTAACTCTCCTCTAGAGATAATTATGGCCAAAGCTCTGGGGACAGCTTTTTCCCACTCTTTGGGAAGAGGCTGATTTCACAGGTCGTATAGCATAAAAAATCACCCACCTAATACTATAGAAAGTTAAGAAATAGAAGACTTGAGTATGAAACACACACACACACACACACACACACACACACACACACCCCTACCTCTTTTTAACATGAGCTTGTGGCTGAAAGTAGAGTAAGTTTTTGTGACCATGATGATAAAAACCTCTCTCCAAGGATGATTGAACCTGGACATTGATGACATCATGAAGCCATTGTCATCAATTCTGCTTGCCTACCTCTGGATTTCCTATTACATGAAAAAAAACCCCTATTTTGACCAAAAATATGTTTTTTTAAGGATCTTATTTCATGAAAAATACATGTATTAATAACTTAGTCATTATATAAGTTACAGAACTTTTTTTTTTTTTTTTTTTTTTTTTTTTTTTTTTTTTTTGAGACGGAGTCTGGCTCTGTGGCCCAGGCTGGAGTGTAGTGGCCGATCCCAGCTCACTGCAAACTCCGCCTCCCGGGTTTACACCATTCTCCTGCCTCAGCCTCCCGAGTAGCTGGGACTATAGGCGCCGCCACCTCGCCCGGCTAGTTTTTTGTATTTTTTTTTTTAGTAGAGACGGGGTTTCATCGTGTTAGCCAGGATGGTCTCCATCTCCTGACCTTGTGATCCGCCCGTCTCGGCCTCCCAAAGTGCTGGGATTACAGGCTTGAGCCACTGCGCCCGGCCTACAGAACATATATTAAGGGACTTTGCTCTTGTATTTCATTTGAGCCAGATACATTATAAATGAGAAAATTAGCCACTTATATACAATTTTCCATTCTCTTTTAAAAATCAGTGGTAACTTGTAAGTTAACTTGTTATTAATACATCAAAGTAATTTCTGCTAGTACAGTGGCAACTTAATGGTGATTATATCCTTTTTAAATTTTTGTCTCTGTTCTGTTACCTAGAAAGGTTGAGGGTTTTGTTGGTACTTTGCATTAAAAATTTCCTGGCAAAATTTTTAAGCCAAGAAATTATTGAGGCAAGTGCGATTGAGCAGATATTTTAAACAAATTCTATTTTCTCCCACTGATTCAATTAAGAGGTCATCAAATCCTTCTTCTAAAACTTCTTATTAGCAGTAAATATAGATATCAGTTGAGGGGATTAGGTACATGGTTAATTAAATTTGTATTAAGGCAGATTAAGAAATCAGTCTTCCTGCTCATTATAAACCAAAGCTAGGATTGAGCTTTATATTTAGACTTCCTGTTTTAATCCGCTGGGTGTATCACATAGATGTTTCCTGTCCAGAGAGACTATTTGTCACTCGATTTCTTTTTGTCCTATCACCACCAACAGGCAATAGTAATCTGCACACCAGCAAAGGAAGAGAAAGAATCAAAAATTTAATTGGAAAGGGATCTTTACATCAGAATCAGGAGGATTTCTTATGCCTGTATTTGTGTGACACTCTTGTTTGAGTTATATTATACAAACAATCCATTGGAATTCTTCACTATATTGACTGATTTTCCCCCCTCCACTGATTGGATTACCCAATCTCCTCATTGCTTTAGAACACCACCTAAAATGTTTACATTTTCCTGTTTGTTCTAGTTAGGTCACTTTCTAATCTGCCACCAGGGACTGAACTTGTCTCCTCAGAACCTCCACATATTCATTCCTTCTTTGCATGTTGCTGAGTGTGGGTTTCAGAGAGTCTTTCACGTGGCGGGAGTAAGGAGTGGTAGGGGTGGGGGTGGGGAGCAAAGAAGGAACAAGAGGCCAGAAACTGTCACTGAGGTCATAGTGCTGGTGTTTTTCTCTTTGCATTCCCTCTTGTAGTGTTTCATGGAGCCAGTCATTTGCAAGGTCTACGTTTTTTTAGACTTTCCAAGTTTATCCTTGGCCAAATCTGTCTCCCTTCTGTTCTTTGTGTTAATTCCCCAGCTTAGACCAAGACTGCAGAGAGAGCTAGAACTTCAGTGCTATGCTGAGTTAATAGTGGTGAGAGCATGCATCCTTGCCTTGTTCCTGATCTTAGGGGGAAAGCATTTAGCATTCGGTCTTTCCCCCTTTTATAAGATGCTAACTGTAGGTTTTTTGTAGACGCACTTTATTAAGTTGAAGAAGTTCTTTATTCTTATTTTTTCCACGAGTTACTTTTTCTCAAATAGGTGTTTAATTTTGTCAAGTGCTTTTTTCTGCATCGATTAATATTATCATGTGACTTTTTTCTTTTAAGAATGTTAAGATCATGGGTTACATTAATGGATTTTAAAATATTTAACCAACCTAGGATGAATCCCATAGTATACAATTCTTTTAAAATATTGCTGAATTCTACTTGCTAATATTTTGTAAACTTTTTTGCATCTATATTCATGAGGGATATTGGTCTGCAGTTTTCTTTTTTGCACTGCGTTTGTATGGCTTTGGTGTCTCAGTGTAATAGGGATTTCATAAAATGACTTGGGAAGTGATCTCTTTTATTTTCTATGTGACATTATATGGAATTAGTATTGATTCTTCCTTAAACAGTTAATAGAATTCTCCAGTGACACCTTATGGGCCTGGAGATTTCCTTTTTCAGAGTTTTAAATTTACAAGTTCAATTTCCTTAATAGTTATAAGGCCATACAAATGATCTATTTCATATTGGGTGAGTTGCGGTAGTTTTTGTTTTCTGAGGAATTGGTTCATTTCACACCTAAGTGTCAAATTTATGTATGTAGAGTTGTTTGTAGTATTCCGTTATTATCCTTTTTATATCTCCAGGGTCTGGACTGATGTTCCCTGTTTCATTTCTGATAGTGCTCACATTTTCCCAGGAAAGCCTTATAAACCACCAGTGGATCCAGGTGGATCTTGAACTAGCATAAAGCTTCCAGGAACTGGCTATGCTCCACTTGTCCTCACCGGGGAGTGACAGAATTGTCCCTCATTGCTACTTTTCTGCCTTATTTTCACTCTGCCTAACCTGATCCCACTGGATAACTCACTGTCACAAGAACAGTTCTGCCTTGAGCATTGCCATTTATACATCTGTGTTTCTGAAATCTTCCCCGAAAAGAAAACTCTGTACTGCCTTCCCTGCCTGTTTGAATTCCATCTGCCCTTCAGGGCCAGATCGAGTACCTCCTTCCCAGCAAGGTCTTCTCTAACCATCCCAGATCAAACTCATAGCCTCTCTGAACTCCAGCAGGAACCCCTGTCCATGCCATTGACCAAGCCCTTCAGTAGCTTTATCTCTGGGTATCATATTGGTTAGGAACACAGGCTCTTGTCAAGACATACCTGGGCTTCAGTCTTGGCTCTGCCATTTCCTAGCTGCATGCCGTGAGACAACTGACTTCACTTCCTCGAATCTTAGTGGCCTCCTCTGTAAAATGAGAAGATAGTCTGCCTGTCAGAGTTGTTGTAAAGATCAAATAATGTGTCTTAAAAGCTATTAAGTATGAAATAAATATTAGGGACATTCCAATACAATAATAATTAAAAATCAAGGTTAAATGGGAAAATATTTATAAAATAATATTGTAATAGAAGAATTATAAAACTGCAGGTAAGGTTAGAAAGATCCAAGAGTGTGTGCATGTGTATGTTCACAAACATACATAAAAGAAAGGGAAGACACATTTCAAAAACAGTCTAAATGATGATGGTTAGCTCTAGGTAATGGGCTAATTGCTGGGTTTTATTTTCTGTTCTATATTTTAAATTTTTGAGGGTGGGACTGCAATAGATTTATAATTTGAAAATATTATTTAAAAAAGAAAAATGAAGATCTGATGATATGTTATTATTTGGTTATTTATACTGCACCATACTTTAGAAAGGGTTTAAAACAGCATACAGTATAGCAAGTTAAAATTAAAATATAAAACAAAGTGAAGCAGAGGAGAAAATGCAGGTAGGAAAGATGCTATGTTGTGACACTGCTAAAAATTTGTTATGAATGTCTCATATTTTTATTGTGTGTGTTTTTTTTAAAGAATGTCCTAGGATTTCCTTTAGTCATGAGTTTAACAAGTAAGATTAATTTAGGTAAAAGAAGGGCAGCATTTTACAACGCAATGGAATAGTATTAAAATTATACTTAAAATAGAATAATGTCCTGCTAGTTTTCATCGAGTTAAACCTTCTGATTATTTTGTTGTTGGCATAGTAGACACACCCAAGAAAAGCATGCTTGCCATTATTTATATTTTATTATACTTGTATAGTAAATTGCACGTTATAAGTACAGATGCTTCTTGAGTTACGATGGGGTTACATACTGATAAACCCATTGTAAGTTGAAAGTATCATAAATCAAGAATACATTTAATACACCTAACCTACTGAACATCATAGCTTAGCCTAGCCTACCTTAAATGTGCTCAGAAAACTTACAGTAGCCTGCAGTTGGGCAAAATTATCTAACACAAAGCCTATTTTATAATAAAGTATTTATTAGGTCATGTACACAGTAGTTTGCCAAGGCAGGAAAATGTCAAAATAAATTATGATTTCCACTGAATGTGTATCGCTGTTGCACCATTGTTAAGTTGAAAAATCATAAGTTGAACCATCATAAGTTGGCGACTGTCTGTATGCATTTGTCTAGTATTGGTTTTGCATATCTGTTTTGAATAAGTTGAATGGAGAGGGCAGACAAACCCCATCCAGGAGTAAAGTTCTTGCCCTGGCCCTGCTATTTCTTAGTTAGGTCTTAACTCCTTGGCTTATTCCTCCTTTGGAAATTGAGGGGTCTAGACAAGAAGGTCTAACTTTGACCATCTATAGTTTAGCATAGTTGTAGTTTCATTTGTTTAAGAATGTACATTTCCATTGATCCTTCCACTGGGAATCTTTATAGCATGTTAGTTGACCTGTGTTATAAAATGTTCATAATAGCCTTCTGTGATATTAACATAATTTAAATGTCTTTTTCACAGAGAGACCTCTCTCCCCCAAGGCCATCAAAGGATTTGAAACTGCTCCACTTACCAAGAATTATTATACTGTGGTAAGTGTTCAGATGATGAATAAAAATTTTCTTGACTCTATATGGAACTTTTTCACTTGTCAAACCATTGATGTATTGAGGTGACACAAAGGAAAGACTGAATAAAGTTGCATGCATGAGTCCAATGCCATTCGCATTACAGTGGAGCTCTTCTACTTATATGCTTCTTACAGATATCTAGAAGTCACATCTACCGTGCTGAAAAATTCAAAGGTAGCACGGATTCAGAGCAAACCCTATTAAACAGCATGAAATAGAAATTGGCTAATATGTAAGAATTATGGTGAAATTCAGCAGTTAGATATACCCTTACCAGATATTTAGAAGGTGAATTTCCAAGTTCCTGTAATGCAATAAATTTTAAGTGGTTGCATTTTGTGATTTTACTTCAGAATCAATGACTTCGTTATTATATCCTCTGGAATATTATCATCCTTTAAAGAGAGCCCAAAAGGAAAACTGCCCTTTGGCACAGTGGGAGGAATGACATGGCTCTGGCTTAAACACAGATATGTCAAAATATGTTAGCTATAAATAGGGTATGTGCAATACTCAAAATAAATCCCTATTTGAAAAAGAAATCGCATCATTCTCCTTCATCTACTCTCTGCTTTCTCTTCACGTCTCCTTTCCAGACTTGGCCCAGTCACTAATTAAAAGGTCAAGTCATGATTAACCTCTAAGTTTCCCTGTCTGGTAGCCTTGTCATTCCCCCAGCCCCGCCTCACCACCTCAGCTGAAATACAGTTTCACTTTTTTACCCAGTGTTCTATGTGCATTTGTCTTGCATACTCATCTCCCTTTGTGCATGGATAGAGTTTTTAAACATCTCTATACAGGTATGTGAATATCATTTGGTTTCAAAAAGTTGAATTTCACTCTTCAGTGAATTTGCTCCATAATGATGACATGAGCAACAGAGAATATGAAAAATCAAGAAGGAACTCACTAGCTAACATGGACAATAAATAATCACAGGGCACTATTTTGTTAATATCTTTTATCTTATGTTTCCAAGGCTAAAATATATTACCCAGCAGAGGTAGATTCCCTTCTCCCTTACTTCCTGATCACTTCTTTCAGCTTTTAGATAACTCCTAATTATTTAATTTTTAAAGAAAGGTTGTAGTGGAATGATGGATGAAAATATTACCATAGCTGCTTCTACCTGTGGGTCTGGAGCATATCATCACTCTGCTTTGGATCTCTCTCTGCCTCTGCTGATTCTACCAACTTAAAATGTGGTTGGGATTATCCAAGGCAGAGTAAACTCTGTGATTCTCATGGAATTTATATCAATCCTATATATATAATGGTCAAACTCTGGACATGCTGCAGTTTATATATCCCACCTCCTGTTGGAAGACATGTTGTTTCTAGTTCCTTGCTGTTATAGACAATTCTGCATTGAATAGCTTATATATATATCACTTGTCAAAGTATATGAAGATCTGTATGGTGAAAGTTAAGTGCTTAGGTCAAAGGATGTATATGTTTAACAATTTTTTTTGGTAGATATTATCCCAAACCTCAGACCTAATAAAGAAAACAAATGTCTTGGGGGAACCATGATAGCCTGTGAAGAACCTGTAGAACTTTGATGTGAATATTGCTTAATTATTGACCAGCTGGATATATTGCAACTAGATATGGATATGAAGAGATTTTGGTTGGTTGGGTTTTTTAAATCCACATTTCTTCGGCCTTGAATATTTAGGCAAATTTTTAGTGTCAATTAATTCAAAATATGTTTTGAGTGTTCTGATTGTCCTCCTAATCTGTGTTGAATAAAAAAAAAATTATTCCATCTACAGGATTTGTAGACTTGTAAAATCAATTTCACTCACATGAAAAGTGCCCTCAACTGATGGTATATTAACTCTTCTTCCCTCCAAGAGTCATTAATTGTAGATATTTTCTGTCGCTAGATCTATAAGAATACTAATGACTGATTTTTACTTCATTAAAAAAAGAAATAACATTTTTCTCTTATATAACTAGTTATATAAACAGCTGTTTTTAAAATATCAGACGATACAGAAATAATATAAAAAAGAAAGTAAGTACCACATGTAATCCCACCACTTAGAAATAATCACTATTAACATGTTAGTGAATCTCATGCCAAATTTTCTTTGAGGTAGGTGTATGTGTATCCATATATATGCATATATAGCCTGTAATATATGTGTGTATATAATTTTTCAAATAAAACAGGAAATTATGTATTTTCTTTTTCATAAATATTTTTCTTTTTTATTTTCTTTCTTTTTTTTTTTTTTTTTTTTTGACACGGAGTCTCATTCTGTTGCCCTGGATGGAGTGCAGTGGCACGATCTCGGCTCACTGCAACCTCTGCCTCCCAGGTTCGAGCAATTCTTCTGCCTCAGTCTCCTGAGTAGCTGGGACTACAGGCAAGCGCCACCACGCCCAGCTAATTTTTGTAGTTTTTAGTAGAAACGGGGTTTCACTATATTGGCCAGGCTGCTCTCGAACTCCTGACCTCATGATTCGCCCGCCCTGGCCTCCGAAAGTGCTGGGATTACAGGCATGAACCACTGCGCCTGGCCCATACAGATTTTTCTATCCCCACACCCCAATAATACTTGTCTCTGACCAGGCCTATTCTTTTTTTTTTTTTGAGATGGAGTCTCACTCTGTTGCCCAGGCTGGAGTGCAGTGGCATGATCTTGGCTCACTGCAACCTCTGCCTCCCAGGTTCAAGCGATTCTCCTGCCTCAGCTTCCCGAGTAGCTGGGATTACAGGCATGCGCCACAATTCCCAGCTAATTTTTGTATTTTTAGTAGAGACAGGGTTTCACCATGTTGGCCAGGCTGGTCTCGAACTCCTGACCTCAGGTGGTCCTCCCGCCTTGGCTTCCCAAAGTGCTGGGATTGCAGGTGTGAGCCACTGCACCCAACTAGACCTGTTCTTATGCTCTTCCATTTAGTGAGTCTTTGCCAGCCCAAGGCTCCCTTTAGTTTGGTCCTGTGTATTTCCCAGAGAAACAGAACCAATGGGGCGGGGGGGGGGGGGGGGAGAGAGAGAGAGAGAGAGAGAGAGAGAGAGAGAATGAATAAGGAATTGGCACATGTGAGTATGGAGGCTGAGAAATTCCATACTCTACTGTCTCAAAGCTGGAGACCCAGGAAAGCTGGTGGTGTAATTCCGTACAAGTCCAAAGGCCTGGGAACCAGAGAGCTGATAGTGTTAATTTCACTCTGAGGTCAGGAGAAGATCAATTTTCTAGCTCAAATAGGCAGACAGAGAAAGCAAATTCTCCCTTCTTCTACCTTTTTGTTCTATTCAGGTCCTTAGCAGATTGGATGAAGCCCACTCACAATAGGGAGGCAATCTGCTTTACTCCATCTACCAATTTAAATGCTAATCTCATCTGGAAAACCCTTACAGGCATACGCAGAAATAATGTTTAGCGAAATATCTGGGCACCCTGTCTATCCTGCCCAAGTTTACAGGATTACACCTTGGGTCGACACATACAATTAATCATCACATCCTGTAAACTTGGGCAGGATAGAGACCTCTGGGAATTTGTAAATCTGCAGACATATTCTCCCCCTTTTCAAGTTTCTAAGGGATTATCTGCTGATTTCAGCCCCATTTAGGCCTTGATGCAATTCTGGTGTCATGTCAATTTTGAAATGTTAAGTAGTTGTCCATTGTGACCAAGGTGGCTGTGGCACCCAGCTCAGACCCACACCTGCCACTAGGCATGTTTAATGTGGGTAACTGAGACTTGGCCACTCCTGGCCTGTTGTTTTAAATAGGAACTTAGCATTCTTGAGAGTCATGGCAGTCCAGATAAAGCTTTTACTGCCCCGACCTTGGTTCCTTAATTGTCCTCAATTATTGCTGCCATATGTTAAACTTCTCTCACTATTAATTATTTTTTCTAATAATCTTCTTCTGCCCATTGTCTTTCTTTGCTCATTGTAACTTAGTGTTATATACCAGGAAGATTTAAAAAGTAAAAATCAGAGAAAGGAATTGATACAGCTTGGTTGTGAGGCTTTATTTGTATGCAGCACTTAGGTCTTGGCACCCATGGTCTCATTGGGAGGGCAGGACAAACATGATAGTGTAAGCCACATGGCAGAGAATGATGTAAGGTTGTAAAGTGTTGTAAGATGGGTTTTTCAAAATGCAGTTGGGATCCTTTGTCTCGGAGGCACCTGGGGAACTTGTTAAAACTACAGACATACGGGTGTGGTGGCTCACGCCTGTAATCCCAGCACCTTGGGAGGCCAAGGCAGGTGGATCACTTGAGGTCAGGAGTTTGAGACCAGCCTGGCCAACATGACGATACCCCGTCTCTACAAAAAATACAAAAATTAGATGGGCGTGGCGGCCCGGGCCTGTAATCCCAGCTACTTGGGAGACTGAGGCAGGAGAATTGCTTGAACCTGGGAGGCAGAGGTTGCAATGAGCCGAGATTGCACCATTGCACTCCAGCCTGGGTGACAAAGTGAGACTCTGTCTTGAAAAAGAAAGAAGGAAGGAAAGAAAGACAGGAGAGAGAGAGAAAGAAAGAGAAAGAAAGAGAGAAAAAGAAAGAAAGAAAGAAAGAAAAAGAAAGAAAGAAGAGAAAAGAAAAAAGAAAAAGAAAGAAGAAAGAAAGAAAGAAAGAAACCACAGACATCTGGGCCACACACCTGACTTGCTACATCAGATTCTCTGGTTGTTGATTCCAGGAAATAGCATTTTTAACAACTCCTCCCACTCCTTCCTTAACCACTTCCCCTTAATGCACAGGTGGCTCTGATGCTCACTTCACCTAAAATATGAGAACCAATCAAGGAAAAGGTTGAATGGAGGATGTAGGATTCAAGGCAAATCTTGGAGGAAGGTCAGAAGTTAGACAAGCAGAGAAGAGCTGAAAGTTTATTCAGACAGGGGGAGCTATATGAGCAGATTCTCCCTGGCAAGAGTGTGCCTGTCTGTAATTAGTCCCTGCAGGTCAGAGAGTGGACTGCACTCT